ATTCATCACATTTTATAAAATGAATTGTTTTGTCCTTTACATTTCACAAAATGAATTGTTTCGTCCCTCACATTTTACAAAATGAATTTTTTCATCCTTCATATTTTATAAAATAAATTTTTTTATCTCCCATTGATTATGTGTACGAATAATTTTTTTTTAAAACCAGGGTATATATCTATTTGATTTTACTTAAATAATACGAGTAACATGTAATATATCTCTATTTGATGTCACCTGAATGTACTGTTCAGGTGAAATTAAATAGATATATACAGGAATTTAAAAAAATTATTAGTTTTTCACTTATATTCATTTTCTTTTACTTGAAAATTGAAAATAAATAAGAAATTTAATTCTAAACATTATCAAGTATTTATATCGAATTAAATTTCGACAGAAAAGATAAACAAAGAAAAAGTATGACAAAAAGAAATCAGTGATTGACACTTTCAAATTTTAAAACAATTACAATTCAAGAAATTCAATTGTTGGTCTTAAAAGTTGTGAGTAAAAATCTCAGATTTAAACTGCAATTTATTAGCGTGACTATAGAATTCAAATTATAACCGATTAATTAGATGGTTTTATTACACAACTCAATAAATAAATTATTACCAAAAGAAAAAGACTACAAATATTGAATAGATTCATATGATAAAATTAAATAAATATATGTGGGTTTAAAATAAAATTGTTAGATTTAAACTCATGTATATATCATTGAATAGTATGTCTACATTTACAATTAGTCTGTTTAAGTGAAATCAGATAGAGATATATTGCATGTTATTGGTACTGTTCAAGTGAAATCAAATAGATATATACATAGATTTAAAAAAAAAATCTTTGTACACATGGTCAATGAGGCATAAAAAAATTTATTTTGTGAAATGTAAAAGATTAAAAAATTTATTTTGTGAAATGTGAGGGACGAAACAATTCATTTTATGAAATGTAAGAGACTATAAATCGAATTATGTAAATTTTAATTTGATAATTTTACCCTTAAAAAATCATTTCATGTAAGCCACGTGATAATTTCTGGCAAAAAACTAGTTGAAAACCTAGGTAGGAGCCAAATTTAACCAATGTAAATTTGTAAGGGACATAAAAATACACTTTTAAAAATGATGGACGAAAAAAATTATTTTATAAAATATGAGGAACGTTTTGAACGATTTTTCCTAAATTTTAACTTCGGGATGATTTTCCATTTTTCCCCTGCGTGTATGGATGCATGCTCAAATTTGATTTCTCTTTTTTAATCCGTATGGCATACATCTATGCAAGTGGCGGCAGCGAGTCATGTCAAGCCGAGAAGTACAATTGCACCCCTTCAATTTTTAAAAGCTCAAAATTAACCTATAAAAATTTTAGAAATTCTAGTATTGCCTTCTTCTTGTCCCCCTAGATTTTGGTAGTATTCCCACCAACCTCACAATTGTCCCTCAAAATTATTGAAATCTTTTACAATTGTCTTCTCCATCTCCATAATAGTGAACCTTGGACTAAAATATATATAATTACATGATGCTATTTTTTTGCTTTCTATTAAATATAATTTTTTTTGGAAGCAAATGTTATTTGTTTAATATTTAACTTTTCTTACATGTCTATTTCATATGAATTACAAGTCCACTAACTATTCATGTAACAGTTTAATTGTGTACAAATTATTTGTCAATTGTTTATATTAATTAAAATATACATCTTGTATTCTTTTGCATAATTTTATAACATTGGATGAGTTAAAAAATAAGGGTTATTATCACTTTACCCCCTTAAATTATATCACTACTATCAGTTTACCCCCTAACATTATCTTTTAATCACTTTATCCCCATGAGTAATTCAACTCAACATGTTAAGAAATTTTGGATAAAAATACCCTTTGATTTTATAGCATTGCGACATTGTTATTATCACTTTATTCGTTTAGATTATAGTGATACAATCATTTTAGTTCTTAACATTATTTTCTGAGCATTTTACCTTATCGTTAATCTAACTAGTATGGTCAGAAAATTTTAAATATATTTATCCTTTTTTATATATAATTAAAAATAAAAAAGTTGGAATGGTTATTCTTTTTTTTCACTATAAGAGATCGAAAAACATAAAAATAAAAAGATTTTCTCAAATTTCTTTTTTCACATTTATTAATACTAGGAAAAGAAAAAGAGATAGGAAAAAAGGAGACAAAAAAATTAGATTTTGTAAAAAAAGAAAATAAAGAAAAGTCTAACATTATCGTATTACTTTAAAGTTGTCGAGATTAGGATTGGAATTTAGTGATAAACAAAAAAGTGAAATAATTTTAAAATAATAAAAGTATTTAATTCTTTCTTATTTGTAATTTTTAAAAAAAGAATTGAGCTCTTTCTCTCCCTCTTCCCTTCCCCCTCTCCATCTTTCTATTTTTTTTCAATATTAATAAGATTGCCAAGAAAAAAGAAATTAATATTTTAACTCTTTTCTTGATACTAAAAAGGAGGAAAGTCACTCTAAATTTTTTATTAATTTTATTATGCAAAGAAGAAGGTATTTTTTTCTAAAGTTTTTTAACTTACTAAGTTGGTTTAATGGTAGGATAAATTGCCTAAAAAATAACTCTACGGGGTAAATTGAAAATGATACTATATTTTATGGGGATAAAGTAATAATAATTTTAAGAATTAAACATGTCTTTTCACTTTAATTAATAACTTCCGTTAAGTTTGACCGTTAGTTTTGGGAGTAAAGTGGCTAAAAAATAACGTTAAGAGGGAAATTGATAGTAGCGCCAAACGTTAAGGGGGTAAAGTGATAATAATCCAAAAAATAATGAATCTCAAATTACATGCTCACTATAATAAATATTTAGTTATTTCAGAAATCTGCAAACCAACACCTTATAAGTCTAAGTTAATATTATTGCACCCCTGAATAAAGGTCCCGATTTCACCGCTGCATCTACCATTATACATTCATGCTAATGCTTCTCCACATTCATACCGCAACACGCATTTGCAACAAAGAGCTTCCATTGAGTACGTTTTGTACTTGAGTTGTTTTAACCTCACTCATTGTTATGTTACATTTCCATGTAAATTTCGTTGATTTGGTATTCAGTTTTAGGTCCACACTATTTTGTTTGGTCATTTATCAAATTATTGATTTTGTTTGGGGAGCTGTTGCAAAGTCCATGAAGTTACTGAGTCCCCTGCATGTACCATTCCTTGAATGTTTGCTGCGTCTTCATCCAAATAACGCATTGAAGGGTCAATCTTCATCCAAAATGCGTACTTTCCCAAGTAGGTCAGAAGACGAGTTAATTGCCCTTTTTCCTGTTCAAAATCGGATTGATGCAGGTCCAAAATCCTACTAATGCTTCTATATATATATATTATATCACTTCAAGCCCGCCCTTAGTTATATTTGTTTAAAAAAATTGAAGTTTGCTCTACTGCAGCACCGGAAGAAATATCAAATCAATCTTATGTTTTTATGAGGTACAAGTGTGTTTTTTTTTTTTTTTTAGTACGATGAAATGTATAGGAGTTTCTTTGTAAATGTAATTAAAATGTGAATATGCTATTTACTTAGTTTTTGGCATGTGAAAAAGTCAAAACTAAGAAAGTGAATTATTTGCATAATTTTATCTCTTTACATTTTTTAATCACTATTTTATCTCACATTCATTATATAAAAAAAATGTTGTAGCAATCTCTTCAAAAATTATCCCAAATAATCTACTATCCAAACACACGTTTTTTGTTTGGTAAGCTTAAATATGTAAAACATTCTAAAAACTATGAAGTATACGCAATATAATTGTTAAACAAAATCATTGCACGAAAAAAAAAAAATTCTTTTTTGTTTTCTTATTAGGAAAAATAGTTGATAACGAACTACATTTTAAATTGATTTTCTGAGAAAATTAATTTTGAGAGCTTGCATATTGAGCTAGTGAAGTAAAGTGTGGTTTACTGACAAACTCCTACATTGGCTGTGAAATCTGCACCCCAGTTTTCAGCTCTCGAAACATGCCTAATCGGTGACTCGTTAAAATCTGTACATCATCCAAGCGTGGAGCTTTTTCTTCAACCTTTGGCGTCCATGGTGTCTAGCTCGCCCAACAACTGGTTCATGACTTTACTTTGAAGTACTATTCTAATTCTTTGTATGGAGTGAATCTCATCCTTCCATCCCCCCTCCCCCCTTGTTTTGGGAATGCAGATCTGATAAGAAGAAGGATTCTCGCTAATTAAATCTCGAAACTTTTCCTCCATTCTTCTTCTGATAGATAGGATTCTAACACTAAATTAATGTCACTGAAGAACACTTCATGGTAGATTCTTAGTTATGCAATATATATATATATATATATATATATATATATATATATATATATTAGAGTTGCTAAAGCTTTTGTAGTATCTAATAGTACACTTTTCTCATAATTCTGACCAATTTTCCTCGATCATAACATTGGGTGCAAATCCTATAACAAAATACACTGTTAATGAAAGCGGGCTTCTAAGTTAGGGAGAGTCATGCACTAGATCCTATAACAAATCCTATAACAAACCATTGGACTATGATCCAACGGTCAGGGAGAGTCATGCACTAGATCAGTGGTTCAAAATTTACTTAGTGCATTACAAGAAAGTATTTTGCTTCTTATCTTCAAAAGATTCAGATTTGAAAAAAAAAAGGGAGAAAGTATGCTTAAAAGTGCATACTCGGATGCTTTAATTTTATTGCATGCAAAAGGCAAATCTTTCACCACACACCGAAAAGGGCAAAAAAAAAAAATAATAATAATAATAAAATAGACAAGCAACAGAGATAAACGACCCAGAAAACATGAGCTTAAACGAGGAGCAGTTTTAATTATCCACTTACACTAACTGAAAGAATAAACTTTTTCAACTAGGTGAGCCCTAGAAGAGGATCATCCAGTTTCTTCGTGCTTGGCTTTCCCTCCGCTGGGCCGTCGTTTGCATGAAAATCGTTTATTGGCGAAGCCATGGTTTGGGAGCGTACAAATCTGGAGATGCAAACCTTGTGGAATTGACATAATCTAGAGGAGCATGTGCTGGCAGGCCAGCTATGGAGAAGATGCCCATAAGTCGAACCGCTCGCATAACCTTCAATTCCTTGTATTCACGTCCGATGAACATTCCCATCCCAAATCCTCTCATCAGCTCCCAAACACAGATCATTTTTTTGGGGATGAACATGAAGACTGAAAAGTAGTTCTTGTTTGGTACTTCATCAACAATCTGCAGCCCATGAACAATTAAAATATTTAATCCTAGGTATTGATATACACATTGCAGATGAGAGAAAATTATAAATGAGCTTGGGAATGCCAAGGGATTCATTACATCGCCCCTGTAAAGGCTGTTGAAGTAGATACACTTTCCAAAGTGCTGAAAATCGCTCCATGAATTGTCCCAAGGGACTCTAGGCACAAGATCGTTGCAATAAACGATCCTAAAGTACTTGCGCCTGCTGCTCTCCATGTTGTTTTCCACGAATGCTCCAAATCTGGAATCTCCAACTCTCGGTTGACCAAAAGTGTAGACCCCGTCTAACCGCTCCGACAGATCCTATTACTATACCATCCTTTTCTTCAGAATTTCCCGGATGGTATAGTAAGCGTATTGCCTATTCGATTGGGGTATGTTCTTGGGCCAACCACTGCCCCTCTGTAGACCAAGAGCTTCCATGAATCCACAATGCGCCCTCCCCACATTAGGAAGCTCATAATAGGAGAGATCCATGTCTGTAATCCAATCATCAGCAGCAAAGGGTTCTGTACCTCTGAAGGCCACACATATCAGTTCCGAGTCCGTGTCCTTATTTTGTCGAAACAACATTGCTTGTGTTGTTGGTTTCCTTTGGAAAGCTAACCACCACCACCACAAAAAAGGAGGAGGAGAAGAAATAAAAGGGGATCAGTTCCGAATGAAAGACAAATTAAATAATTAACCATCAAACTAACAGCAATTTAAAACACCAGGTTGACATTATTGGACCCCATACGTGCAGCCTTTTGAGTCCGTCATATTATTGCTTTCACATGGTATCTTACGTATTAGTACTATCTAGGCACTTGGAGGATAGGGTTTCGAATGCTCAAAAGCCATGAAACTCGTTCTTAATGAAAGCCCAGCTAATTTTCGTAAACAAGTGTTCTCCAATAACTAATCGTTGCAAATCCCCCTCTCACAAGGCAGCCATTAAAATTTAAAAGTAAGGTAGGAATAAGGAATACTTACCGTTCCAGAAATCGTAAAATCCCATGAATTCCATCTGTGAAAGTAGTTTAACGAGGTCATCAATTGTCACTACATGATATGTAAAGAGATGACTACACTAGGTTATCGAATAAGTAAGAACCAAAACATATACACAAACACGTAACACATGTAGAAAATTGAAACTAAAACAGTTTTACCTTCCAGATTTTCGAGACCACATATTCGATATGAGCGGGGTTCTCGTAAACGACTTTGGCAGCCATTATTGCGAGAGCCGAATTATATCTCGTATCGTCAATTAGGATGTTCTCAGCCAGCTCTTCCCTATCGTCTGAAAGTCCGGTCAGCGACCGATACTTGGGCGAATCTCTATCTGGGGTTTTTTCTGGCCGGCGCCCTACAAAAGATAAAAATGGATGGATACTAACCTCCTTACAGCCTTAATTAAAGGAACAACCATGCACACACGTAATCTTTAATGACCTAGTCGATAAAATATAGTAAAAAAGAAATCCTATCCAGATTGTTATGCTGTACAACAAAACGATAACTAATTTCTTATTTCCTTCACACTACAAGTGTTGGATCTGTTAGCTAGGCGCAAGTCAGACACCAGGATATTCTCTAGCATCAGGTATCAGTTTATGGATCTTAATTTACGTTCATGCTTTTCATTATTCAAGTGTAACTAGAGTCACTGCTGCAATTTATTTTGAAATCCAGTCTGCGTTTGTTCAAGAGGTTTGTTCTTGCTGTGTGACAGTGCACTACGTTTTGGAGGCTTGCGTTTTGAAGAAACCCCACATACTCGAGGTATTAATGGGGAACAAAGGAGTGCTGTTCCTATCACAACTCGCCCTGGTTTGTAGGATTTGGAAGATGGTGGGAGAACTTCCACGTAAACTGCTGGGATAAGACCTCGCCCGCAGATTAACGCATCCATCAGCACACGCACGATAGCATGCATGCATGCCCTTATGTTTGGCATTTTGATGTCTCTATTCTTATCGATCAATGTTCATGAATTATCCAAAAAGCAAATAATATTTGCATTGAGCAAAGTGGGTAGCATGAAACTTGGAAAAAGTCAGGCGAATGAAAGAAAAGCAAGAGCAATAACTAATTAGGAGATTGAGTAGCAGAGTCTACCCCGAAGGATTTTGAAGATAATTCCCATAAAACCGCCATTCACGTACAGCAGGTTAAGCCAGTTCTCGATTGCATGCCCCAACAATGCTAGCGGTCCTGCGAGTATGAACAAGATAATTTGCATCACGACAGAGCCAACTAGAACCACCCTTTTAGGGAATGGTAATCTCGTCCCTCTTGGGGTAAAAATAAATCTTCTATTGTCTGCACGGCTGGAGAGCAAGAAACGAAGGAGATCGAAGATTGTGGCTTCCTTCGGAGCTAGCACCATATAGTGGCTAGCAAATGACCGCTCCTCATTGGAAGCCATTGAAGATTCAACTGTAAAGGCTGGGAGATTAATTAATTGATAAAAGGTTCAGCTAGCAGCTAGTATACAGTAATATGGTCGGACAGGGATAGAGCGATGCCTTTAGTGGACCAGTATATATATAGAGAGATCAGCGATATAAGGCATCGAGATTTTCTTCCAAGTTCATTCCCTCGATCAATCTAGTGATTTGCTTTCGCTTTTTTTTTTTTTTGGATATGGAAAACCCAAATTCCACGTTACGCATTTTATCACCGTTCGTTTAGATATGTACTTATTATTTTTTGTGTTATTATTCTCGAAAAGTTTGAAATTCAAATTAAACAATCAAAAGAGGATAGAGAAAGGTGAAAAAATTACAATGTTCACACAAATGAGGAACTAGAAAAGGACAAGCGTAAAATGCAAGGGGACTGTGTAGTTTTCCCTTGGTAGTGATAAAGGGAAGCCTCTTGGCACCAAAATCTTAAGCGTCGTATAATTTTGTACTAACCAATCACTTCCTCTAAAGGAGATTAGCTTGGGATAGTCGCATTGGCAATCTCTCTCCATTTGGCAAAAGTGCGAGAATCCTAAACACTTCGTGACATGCAATATTGAAAACAGTCGGTACAAGTTGTGTACGTAAAAGAAAATGTAAATTAGATTTAGGATGGAAAACTTGTTGTTTCTATCTTTTTTTTTCCCAAAGTATAACATATTCATATATTTGTTTCCATCTAATGTTGGAAACAAGTTTAGTTGCAAATTGTGCCATTATGTGTGCACACCTATTTTTAGTTCTATATACAAAAGAAAAAGTACTATACTGGAACATGCCACTCAGCTGTCATATATCTTTCATTATGGTTGCTATTGATGATTCCTCCTTGCATCCCTTTTGGATTGTTTCAATGACAGTTTTACAATCAGACTGCACCTCAATTCTCTACCACCCTGCTTCTTTGCTATGTTTTTTCTATTTTTTTTTTCGAAAACGATAACAATTGCATAATATATCCTATCCTAAACTATCGAGAAGGGAGAATCTAGAGAGACTTGTGTTAGAAATTAGCAGGTATACAGATCTTACTAAATCAAAGGAGTGTTTTGGTACCACCTTGAAAGATTTTTTTCGCTGCAAATGGCCACTGAGTGCTCAGTGGTTCTATGTTTTTTCTATCTGAATTTGGCAAAATTGGGAAAACCCAAAACATTACAACACATGCATCGGACAAATATAGCACCTTGGAGTTGTTAGAAACCACCCACTTAGAAACAAGTAGTTTTGTACTAGCCTAAGCAATCATTTCCTCTAGCGTAAATTAGACGCGTAGTTTCGCTTTCAAAGTTAAGACAAGTGAGAAAGCCCTAAACATTACTAATAGTCAGACACCTACAAGCTACGAGATATTAAAATTAGTAATTGTCACTAATATCCTCGGAGTGGTCAAAAGGCCCACCACGCGCCCTTGCAAAAACTGGGTTTGCAGTAACCAACTGCTCCCCATGCCCCTGTGGTCAATTAGATGGGCAATACTTGCGTAGACTCTGTCTACAGGTCGGCCCACATGTAGATTGAGTGGTGGAAAAACTGTCACATCATTCAATTTGAATGAGGCCTCGAAATTATTTCAAGCTCACGTCTCAATTGGGCTTGTAGTGCTTTTAATAAAAAAATACTTTTAGGTGTTAAAAATATTTTTAAGATGGATGAATATTATTCCATAAAATTTGAAATAAAATTTTTTGTGTGAAAAATACTTTTCACAAAAGTTTAAATTTGATACTTTTAGAGTAGTTTTTATGATTTGAAAAAAATTAAATTTAATTATGTTATTCTATATTATAGATTAAATAAAGAAATAGATATATTTAAAATTTTTAAATTACATATTATTCAATATAATAAACATTTATTCAATCATGTCTTCAAAATAATATGCTTAAAAGCACTTAAATATTTAATAATTACTTGTATTATAAGTTCTATTGAGAAAGTACCACAAGCCCTCACCCTACTCTTTCGGTGCAGTCCTTCAAATCTCATGTGGTCCCAACAGATCCTCTATCCCCACCGGCTTAATCCCAACTTCCCAATTTCTATCACTACCACCACCATCACTTCCTCCTTGTACTGTGCTGCCACCAAAAACCAAACACACCACTCTCTTCCCCTTGTTCTATGCCACCACGATCACTGCCCAATCCACCTCTATCGAAACTTGCCATCCACCTCTATCTATCACCTTCTTCTTCATTTTCCTTCTACATGTCTTATTCCCTTCTTTCTCACAAAACAAATACTTTTTTTTGGTTAAACTCATGAGTTTTGAAGAAAACCCAAATGCACAAATTACATGTGAAGTCTAAGCAAACACTACAAAAAATGAGAAAAGAATATAGCGTTGGGGTCAGGTTTAGAAATCTTACAAGAAAATTGATATGGAGTTTGGGAAATAAAGCAAAAGGACAGTTAAAGATGTGATTTTGAAGTGTACTAGTATTTTAAAGCAAAACGATCACTTAAACAGAAAAGAGAGATAAATGCAATTGCATAGTTATGCAGTTTGTCGTTCTGGTTAAGCAAGACGTTATGAATAATTTCATTAATTAATAATGTGACACTCTTTCCTCTCCTACCCATTCCTCCATCACCATCCAACAGCCATATCATTGGAGGAGATGGCAGATTATATCATTGAAGAAGGTAGCACCCATATCAGACATTCCTTTTCTCCTCCTCTTAGACCCCAAAATCCTCATTCATTTTAGTAGATTTAGGAAAGAGTGAATGGCTGAAAAGATCACTCAACTATTAAAAATGGCATCGCTTGATTATCAAACTTTTTTTGTGACAAAAAAGATCACTAAACTCAAATAGACGCGCCAGCGGAGTCATTTTATCAATTTTAACCAGTGAATTATCCGGTTACAAGGCTATGTTGAGTGAAGGAATATTTGTGAGAGAGCAAAAATGTCCAAAAAAGTATGGCTAACATGTTTCTTCCTTCCTCGCAAGGCGTGCCCAAAAAAATTTGCTAGAGTGATTACACAGAAGCCAATCAACTACTCTAACTACTCATAGTAGTTGGCTATCAAGAGAGATTTAAAACTCTACTTGGGTGTGGATCAAGAAATCAAATCCTTTGGCCTGCATTTTAAAAAATTCAAACTTTCTTGAAAAAGTTTGTCAATGTGTGCGTGGGTACCCATCTGGACCATTGTTGGTTTAGGTCTCTTTAGATTCTCTCTCCCTCTAGTATAGAGTAGGAGTAGGTCTAAAATAATTCTATCATATCAAAAAAAAAAAAGATGACACAGAGACTGGAGGTTCGTGATGAAAGAGAATATGAAGAAGAAAGACAATCTCGAAGCCATCAGCGTGAAAAGAGAATAACCTCTTGCAACTCCAGTTTTGCCTAAACAGCTCCAGCAACATCAGCAAAAGTCACACCCGTCTCAGGAACCTCCTGAAACTTTGACTTGGACCTGTCGAAACCCAAAGGCTCCCCAAGACCACCAAACTCACCGGGTACTCCCTGAGCCTGTCGAAAAAGGAAGAACAAGCTAGCAAAAGTGAGAAATGGGAAAAGCAAATACCCAATAAAATTAAACAACCCATTGCCAGAATCACCCTAAAAAACTGAAACGTCAACTCCGTTCATTGCCAAAATGTCAATCAAGTCGGGGTCATTAGGCACAATTACAATAGCTCTGTGGCATTCATGGCAGTGAGCTAAAAGACGCTATCATTTTTATTGAACCTAGCCCTCTCAACTAAGACTGCAAACAAATCGAGTCCCTTCGAATCGAACTCGAACTCAAATTTGAGTTCAAAAATATTAAAATGGCTTATGAGCTCGAGTATAAATATTTTTATTTTTTATTTTAATAGTAAAATTACATTTATATTCCTAATATTTTATTATTTATTAAAAAATATATTATTTTATTTAATTTTAATAAATAAAAATATTTATTTTTTTTTTTTCGAACTCGAGATTGAGTTTTAAATTGACAACTTGTCGAGTTCGAATTCGAGTTTGAGTTTGATAAAACTAAGTCAAGATTCAGCGCAATTAGACCAAAATTCAATTCGACTCATTTGTAACCCTACTCTCAACTTTAACCTTCTTGACAACATTCAAGAATTCACTGTATCGCCACTAAGATTCCTCCGAGAGGTCAGTGGAGGGCTGAGTTTGGGACTTTGGGGCAATCAAAATCAAATTTTAGGAAAAGGGAGATGGGTTTGAAGTACTGGGTTGTGGGGCTTTAGCTTGAATTATTGGAGGTAGAGTTGGTGGGACAGCGTTATCCACAACCAAAGTTGGTGGGGTGATTGAAGAAAATAATAAAGCAGCCAGTGTGGCTTTTGATGGAATATTCTTCAACGATTGTGAAATACTATTGGATTTTTTCCCTCCAAGAATTGATTCGGAAATTAGAAACTTTCTAGGCAAAGATTTGTTTTTGGGGTTAGAAAGGAGAGGACTAATGAAAATTTGGACAATTCTGGAAAGGATGGCATAGTTGTTGAAGTTAACGGCAAGATGATCCGCGCAAGGCAAGATGAGATTACCAGTTTCATTCCGAAGCTTTGAATATCTTCAAGAGAATATTGCCTGTCATGGAAAAATTACTGTAGCGATTTGATGTATGTGAGGAAAAAAGGTAATAGGAAAATGTGATCACGGAAAACAACGTAATTTTCTGATGAAAAGCCGCAATCCAAACAAGGCTTTATCTGTCAATGAAAGAAGAAATCAATGAACTTGTAGATCTAAGGGCAAGGCTTGTGAGAAAAAAACATATTTGTCATAGTTTTTGGACATTTTTGCCTGCTCACAAATATTCCTCCACTCAACATAGCCTTATAACTGGATAATTCACCAGTAAGAATTAACAAAATGATTCCGCTGGCGTGTTTATTTGAGTTTAGTGACCTTTTTTGCCACAAAAAAAATTTAGTGACCAAACGATACCATTTTTAATAGTTGAGTGATCATTTCCTCCATTCACTCTTTAAGAAAACTCTCCCATACATTTTAATTGATCCTCAATCATCCTCCTCTTAAACCCCAAAATTCTCATTCTTTGTAGTAGATTCAGCAAAACTCTCCCTAGCATTTTAATTGATTCCTAATCATCCTCCTATTCCTCAAGCAAATCTTTTGTTAGCAACGGTGAAGATTTCATCATTGTTGTAGAAGTGATTACTCGGCGAAACTCCACCGAACCCTGTCTCTGCCGCATTCAAATTTTCCTTGTTTTTCTCACAGAATCTATGGTCTAAAATTATTCTTTCTAAAGCAAAACAAAGTTTGAAGAAAATCAAATTGTCGGAAATTAATAGATCAATGAAAAATAATTTAGTTTATTTGGATTACACATTATTTGCATGTTATTTACATATATTGATTTATTTACATCATCAATGCACTTTTCAATCAATTTTCTATTTCACATACATCACATCAAAAAAATACTAAATATTTTTTCAAAAAATTATTCCAAGTGATCTCCAATCCAAACACACTCAAATGTGATTGGGAGAGTTTGGAGATCTTAGCAAACGGTTGGACGGAGTTTGAGGAAGAAATCTGACATTATCTTCTTCAGCACAAAAAACACAAATGGAAATAGGCGGGGAAAAAGACGGTTTTTGGATACAAATGCCTAGTAACGACGTGGCAAATTTTGAGCCATTTGGCCTATATATGGAGCCGTACATTTACCCAAATTTTTGCCATTTAGACGAGACGGGTAATTTCTCTCTGAATTTGGCGAAAGGGGGTAAAAAGTCAGACATGGCTAGCTGTACATTCAATAATACTACTAAAGAATAGAATCATCAAATAATAGAGGGCCATCAAACTTTGATCCTCGTCTACTCAAAATGGCGCAACGGTTCCCATGAAAGGACTTGTCACATCAAAACTTGGCGTGTTTCGAAGGAGTCTAAAGTTTTTTTTTATCGTAAATAATTTACTTTAATCTAGTTAGTCCGAGAGAAGGAAAAATTGACGAAATTTTTTCATCAAAGAAAATTACATTCATACCAACAGCGGGATGTTGGCTCGAAGGAGTCGAAACAATAATATATTATAGAAAGTTGCATAAAATGGCCCCAGCCCTTTCTCTTTCATTTTGCCCCGGGAATCATTTCGCTTGCGCGTCATGTCATAGCCAAATCTTGTCATTTTTATTTTGATTTTTTTATTTCTTCAACGCTGTAAGTTGTACGGCTACCATTGGGCAACCGTGATCCATCACCTCGTTTGCTCTGCCAAAATTGTCCTTGACTTCAGTTTTTGGTTTCGTGCCATGCATATACAAGTTAAAAAGACTTTTTACCAACAAAATGATTAGAAACCCCTACACCATTTTGTTTAAATTTTCTCTAAACATTATTATACGACTAATTATTTCGAGTGTCACTATTGCTTAGGTGGACTGAGTAGAAGTGTTAAGAGAGACAGCGAGAGAGAGAGAGCGACGGTATGAGTTTGCTTGAATAATTAAATTCAGTAGTTTGATGTGAAGTGTTAAAGGAAATCAATAATGGGTAAAAATGGCTGTCGAATGGCTGTCCGGAAAAGGTAGCCGTATGATAATTCCAAGTACAGTGTCTAAGTGGGCTAAGATTATCTCTGCTGAAAATCTTTTGGTCTCTCTATTTATTTATATCTCAATTCATACAATATTATAAAATTATGCAACTATGTCATTATTTTAACTTTTGATATCTAAATAAATATATTAAAAATAATAATTTTTTAATGAATATTTTGACATTCAAATTACACAAAACATTTAAACGGTAAAAAATAAATTAAATTAGTAACAACAATTTTTAATGATTAATCAAATAGCAAAATTTTGGTTAATTTCATATAAATTATACATATAACTAACACAAGTGAATAAATAATTTTTAAATTAATTTTTTTAAGGTGTAATAGAGAAGTTTTATTCAATCCAATGCAATGGAGATGGAGAGAGGTCTAGTCTTATCTAAAGCCTCACCTACCTGTAAGTTGCAACCCACTTCATCATCAGCTGACGCAATCCCAACTCACCTCATCCCCGCGACCAAATGGACCAGGATGGCTGAAATGCTATGAAGTAGCATCTACTTCCGGGGCATCATTAGCCATGTCCGGCGGAGCTACAACACAAATTTGTCTTAATATGGCTAGTCTGTTAGACGAACAGCTCAGTGTATGTTAACACTGCACACCTTCAATTACGTATAATTTGGCATAAATTTCCTTTTTTCCAGGCGCTAAGGATTTTTAGGAGCAGAGATTTTAGGAGTGGCCACCACACGTTTAATTTCTTGTTGATGGGCATTAGCCTTCTTTTTTCTTGGGCGGCCAAAATTTTGTTAACAAAATTATCTTAATATATTCTGTTTCAAATGATTTTCATCTATTTAAATATATAACATTTAAAATATCAAATATTAACTTTAATTATAAAGGTACGTCTATTTCGTAAATATGCAGTATAGCATAACGAGAATTAATACAATAAATAATTTTTGATTAAATATCTTATAAAGTCACAAATTAATCAAGTTGCAAATTATAAGAAAATGCTCCAATGTCACCCTATGAAAAAAAATATAAGTATGCAATACAAATATAAATATAACTATTTTCATTTAAAAAAAAAAAGATAAAAGCAATATTAACATACCATAAAATTTCATTCTCTTTTCCTAAAAGCAAATTGAGTTTTATGTTCTTTCACATAACTAAATTTATCTATGATTGAATGAGTGATAAATTTTTCAATAACTTCCTTTTCTATGTACATAAATAGGCAATCATTTAAGAAATTATTTTTCAACTTATTTTAGAGTTTTGTCTTGATTATCTTCATAATTGAAAATGCAAATTCTGTAGTTACAGTTAATACAAAAAAAGTGAGAATAAGTTTAATCAATTGGGTTAAACTGTACATTTATATATATCTGCCAATACAGTAATTATTTTTATTGTATCCTGCTGATAGTTATGAATTGGGTCTTTTTATTATAACTAGTGAGATGGCCTTGCGCTGCTGCGTAGGGGAGACTATATTTCCTGTGTTAACTTGCACAATTTTTTGTTGTAGAATATTTGTTGTATGAAAACGGTATAATGTACAGAGTTATATAGTTGTTATAATTGTGGTTTGAATTAGCAAATAATTTGGAAAAAGTAGTAATCAAATAATTTGGAAAAATTGAATAGAAGGAATTTTTTCGGCAATCTATAGTAGTACACAAATATGCTCATATAATGAAGGAAACAATTAACCAAAGAAAAATAATTTCTAGAGTCTTCACTTTCATTAAAGTAAACAGTAATTTATTCATTCTTTGCTTAACAATTGTTTATAGGCAAAATTATTCATGGCAATTAACACATTTAGATAGCATTGCAAATTTTTGTTTGGTTAATTACACGCACAATACGTGAATCATTTTTTTGGAGACAATTTTATTGAAGACAAAACTATTTGCCTCTTTTATCTGTACTTTTGGTTTCAAAAAAAGCACCACTGAGAGCAAACTTTGGAAAATTCACTGGAAGGAGTTTTTCCGGCAATCTATAGTACACAAATATGCTGATATAATGAAGCAAATAATTAACCACAGAAAAATAATTTCTATGGCCTTCACTTTTTACACCAGCAATTAGTGATATTCTATAACTAAATTAGGCTAACATGTCCGCTAATAATTGTCACAATTAGAACTCCAATTATGTTAGTGGAAACACTAAATGGATATAAGTACAGTAAAATACAAAATGTTTCAACAAGCAGCCAAACAAGCACATGCTTTTAACACAGTACTAAGTTCTCTTAAAACACTAAACGAACTGCCAGCACATGCTTGAGCCCGCCGTGCATTGCAACACACTAAAGCAAAGTACAAAGCCATGCAGCAATCCTGCAGGCCCAAGCATACTTTTTTTTTTTTCACCCGCTTGAAAGTATGCTTTTAAACCATTGGGCCGTCGTTTGCATGAAAATCGATTACGGAGAACCAATTGTCCTTGGGTCTTTTTATTGGCCAAGCCATGGCTTGGAAGTGTACAAATTCGGGGACGCAAACCTTGTGGAATTGACATAATCTAGAGGAGCATGTGCTGGCAGGCCAGCCAACCCGAAGAGGCCCATCAGTCGAACCGCTCGCATAACCTTCAATTCCTTGTATTCAGGTCCCATAAACATTCCCATCCCAAATCCTCTCATCAGCTCCCAAGCAGAGATCATTTTTTTGGGCATGAACATGAAGATTGAAAAGTAGTTCTTGTTTGGTACTTCATCAACAATCTGCAGCACATGGAAAATTAAAATATTTAATCCTAGGTTCTGATATACGGCATTGCAGATGAGAGAAAATTAGAAATGAACTTGGGAATGCCAAGGGATTCATTACATCGCCCCTGTAAAGGCTGTTGAAGTAGATACACTTTCCAAAGTGCTGAAAATCGCTCCATGAATTGTCCCAAGGGACTCTAGGCACAAGATCGTTGCAATAAACGATCCTAAAGTACTTGCGCGTGCTGCCCTCCAGGTTTTGTTCCACGAATGCTCCAAATCTGGAATCTGCAACTCTTGGTTGACCAAAAGTGTAGACCCCGTCTAATCGGTCCAACAGATCCTTTTCTTCGTGATACGCCAAAATGGATGGAAACAGGATTGCTAGTGCACCACCCAAGCTGTGACCTGTCACTATAAATTTAGCCTTGGGATTGTTTTTCAAAGCATCTTTCAGAATTTCCCGGATGGTATAGTAAGCGTATTGCCTAGTAGATTGGGGTAGGTCCTTGGGCCAACCACTGCCCCTCTGTAGACCAAGAGCTTCCATGAATCCAGAATGCGCCCTCCCCACTTTTGGGAGTTCAAAATAGGAGAGATCCATGTCTGTAATCCAATCTTCAGCAGCAAAGGGTTCTGTACCTCTGAAGGACACACATATCAGTTCCGAGTCCGAGTCCTTATTTTGTCGAAACAACATTGCTTGTGTTGTCGGTTTCCTTTGGAAAGCTAACCGCCACCACCACAAAAAAGGAGGAGGAGGAGGAGAAGAAATAAAAGGGGATCAGTTCCGATTGAAAGGCAAATAATTAACCATCAAACTAACAGCAATTTAAAACCCCATACGTGCAGCCTTTTGAGTCCGTCATATTATTGCTTTCACATGGTATCTTACGTATTAGTACTACCTAGGAGGACAGGGTTTCGAATGCTCAAAAGCCATGAAACTCGTTCTTAATGAAAAGCCCAGCTAATTTTTGTAAACAAGTGCTCTCCAATAACTACTAATCGTTGCAAATCCCTCTCTCACAAGGCAGCCATTAAAATTTAAAAGTAGGGTAGGAGCAAGGAATACTTACCGTTCCAGAAATCGTAAAATCCCATGAATTCCATCTGTGTAAAAGCAGTTTAACGAGCTCATCAATTGTCACTACATGATATCTAAACAGATGACTACACTAAGGTAGGTTATCGAATAAGTAAGAAACAAAACATACACACAAACACGTAACACATGTAGAAAATTGAAGCAGAAACTGTTTTACCTTCCAGATTTTCGAGACCACATATTCGATATGAGCGGGGTTCTCGTAAACGACTTTGGCAGCCATTATTGCGAGAGCCGAATTATATCTCGCATCGTCAATTGGGATGCTAGCATCCAGCTCTTCCCGGTTGTCTGAAAGTCCAATCAGCGACAGGAACTTGGGCGAATCTCTATCTGGGGCTTGTACTGGTCGGCGCCCTACAAAAGATCAAAATGGATCCAAACCTCCTTACAGCCTTTATTAAGGGAACAACCATGCGCACACGTAATCTTTAATGACCTGGTCGATAAAATATAAGTAAAAAAGAAGTCCTATATAGAATGTTATGCTGTACAACAAAACGATAACTAATTTCTCATTCCCTTCACACTAAGACACTAATTTATGGGTTTGGAGGCTTGCGTTTTGAAGAAACCCCACATAATCGAGGTATTAATCGGGAACAAAGGAGTACTGTTCCCATCACAACTCGCCCTGGTTTGGAGGATTTGGAAGATGGTGGGAGAACTTAATGTTGGGATGAGACCTCGCCCGCAGATTAACGCACCCATCCACACACGCACGATAGCATGCCCTTATGTTTGGCATTTTGATAGCTCTATTCTTATCGATAAATGTTCATGAATTATCCAAAAAGCAAATAATATTTGCATTGAGCAAAGTAGGTAGCAGGAAACTTGGAAAAAGTCAGGCGAATGAAAGAAAAGCAAGAGAAATAACTAATTAGGAAATTCAGTAGCAGAGTCTACCCCGAAGGATTCTGAAGATAAGCCCCATAAAACCGCCATTCACGTGCAGCAGGTTAAGCCCCTGCTCGAGTGCATACCCAAACAATGCTAGCGGTCCTGCTAACATGAACAAGATAAGTTGCATCACGACAGAGCCAACTATGACCACCCTTTTAGGGAATGGTAATCTCGTCCCTCTTGGGGAAAAAATAAATCTTCTATTGTCTGCACGGCTGGAGAGCAAGAAACGAAGGAGATCGAAGACTGTGGCTTCCTTCGGATCTAGCACCAGATAGTTGGTAGCAAATGCCGCCTCCCCATTGGAAGCCATTGAAGATTCTAACTCTAAAGGCTGGGAGATTAATTAATTGATAAAAGGTTCAGCTAGCAGCTAGTATCTAGTCTAGTAATATGGTCGAACAGGGATACAGCGATGCATGTAGCGGACCAGTATATATATATAGAGAGATCAGCGATATAAGGCATCAAGATTTTCTTCCCCACTTCATTCCCTCGATCAATCTAGTGATTTGCTTTTGCATTTTTTGTTTTTTGGGCTTTTTTGGCATATGGAAAACCCAGATTCCACGTTGAGCTTTTTATCACCGTTCGTTTAGATACGTACTTATCATGTTTTGCATTATTATTCTCGAAAAGTCTGTAATTCAAATAAAACAATCAAAAGAGGATAGAGCAAGGTGAAAGAATGTTCACACAAATGAGGAACTAGAAAAGGACAAGCGTAAAATGCAAGGGGTCTGTGTAGTCTTCCCTTGCTAGTGTCAAAGGGAAGCCTCTTGGCACCAAAATCTTAAGGGTCGTATAATTAGCTTAATATAGTCGCATTTGGCAAAAGCGCGAAAATCCTAAACACTTCGTGACGTGCAATATTGAGAACAGTCAGTACAAGTTGTGTGCGTTAAAAAAAAAATTAAAAGTAGATTTAGGATGGAAAAGTAGATTTTTGGCGGAAGTGGGAAAACCCAAAACATTGCAAGAACATGCATTCGACAAGTATGGAGTTGTTAGTTTTGCACTAGCCTAAGCAATCATTTCCTCTAGAGTAAATTAGACAAGTGGCTTCTCTCTCAAAGTTAAGACAAGGGAGAAAGCCCTAAACATTATTATTAATAGTCGGACACCTAAATTACTACGTATGAGATAAAAAAATCAGTAATTGTCACTAATGTCCTCGGAGTTGTTAAGAGGCCCACCCACGCACTCAATTATGGCACCAACCAACTACTCCCACTCCCGCTGTAATAAATTAGATGGGCAAGTACTTGTGTAGACTGGGTTTACAGGTGAGCATGTAGACCGAGTTGTGGAATTTATTGCCACATCATTCAATTTGAACGAAGCCACAAAAGTATTTCAGGCTCAGGGCTCAATTGTAGTTGCGGTACTTTTAATAAAAAAATATTTTTAGATGTTAAAAATATTTAAAAGGTATTTGGTGAATATCGTCTCATAAAATTAGGAATGAAAATTTTGATATGAAAAGCATTTTTAGTGAAAGTTCAAATTTGATGTTTTTAATATATTTTTATTTTAAAAATTAAATAAATTTAATCATTTTATTCTATATTATAAATTAAATAAAGAGATAAATACGTTTAAATTTTTCAAATTACATATTATTCAATACAATAAAACTTATTCAACTATGTCTCTAAATAATATATTTAAAAGCACTAAAACATTTAATAACTATACTAAAATATTTAATAATTTTTTTGAATTAAACGTGTTTTGAAGAAAATTCAAATACACAAATTACATATGAAGTCTAAGCAAAAATTACAGAAAATGAGAAAAGAAGATAGCGGTAGAGTCAGGCTTAGAAATCTTACCAAAAAGTTGACATGGAGTATGGGCAAGAAAGCAAGAAGACAGCTTCTTTTTTTTTTATCGCAACGATATAATTCTTATAACATAATCTAGTCTAATTTAGATAGGCGAAAAAATGAAACTCGATATGAGTAGATATTCCATTGAAGATGGCCAATTAAAACCGTTATATATTGTGATAATTTTTTTGATGGAAGGCAAGTATCGAACACTTGATCGCCGAACCAAAGGCCCAATGGCGCAAAAGGACAGCTAAATGTGGGATTTTGAAGTATACTACTCCCTCCGTCTCATTTTAATAGTTCTGATTTTTTTTCACACAGTTTAAGAAAAAATAGTTAACTTTGTTGGAACAATCAATTTAGATAGTTATTTTTTCTAAAATACCCTCACATTAATTAGAGTACAACTTTATGGGAACTTGAATTGATGGTAAAAAAAGAATCAATTCTTATTAAATGAGGTAGGTTTATAGTAACAACAACTTATATTGAATAAGGGTATTTTAGGAAAATTAATGACACGGTTGTGTTTGGATTGCATTTTCCGTCATTTTTCATGGAAAAATTACTGTAGCGATTTGATATATATGAGGGAAAAAGGTAATAGGGAAATGTGATCACGGAAAACGATAATATTTTCCGATGGAAACAAGCAATCCAAGCATGGCCAATACAACTACATTTTTTAGTTAGAAAGTGGACTACAATTTGGGACAGACGAAAAAGGAAAACAGGACTATCAAAGTGAGACGGAGGGAATAGTATTATATTTTAAAACAAAAAGTGTAGTTTGCCGTCTCGGTTAAGCAAGAAAGTTATGAATAATTTCATTCATTAATATGTGACACTCTGTCATCTCCTACCCATTCCTCCATCACCATCCATCATCCATATCATTGAAGGAGACGGCAGATCATATCACTGGAAAAGACAGCACCCATATCAGACGTTCCTTTGCTCCTCCTCTTAAACCCCAAAATCCTCATTCTTTTGTAGTAGATTTGGGAAACTATCCCTGATATTTTAATTGATCCTCAGTCGTCCTTCTCTTCCCCAAGCAAATCCTTTGCTGGCAAAAGGACGGTTTTTGGACACAAAATGCCTAGTGATGACATGGCAAATTTTGAGCCATTTGACCTACATATGGAGCTGTAGACCAGGTCTAGCATCCTCACTCTCACTGAGACTAGAACTCTTAAGGAAGAAAATAGATTTCTGGATGGAAGGGTGTAATAATTTCACTCTGAATTTTGGCAAAAGCGCGTAAAACGTCAGACCAATTAGAGGGGACGGGCAATTTCTCGGATTTTTCTATGATGGAGACAGTACGGATGTCTCCAGCAAGGGAAAAGCTGGCCAGATGAAGCATCCATTGGCACCTGTCCAGCCACGGAAATCAAGGCTGCATGGAAACCGAAAGGAGAATTGCTGAGCCAGTGTTGTTGCAGGCGCACATGTTCCAGTTGGACTTCCACGTCAAACCAGATGGCGAGAAATCTTTGATGTTCCAGTTGGACGTCCACATCATTGCAAGCGTGGAAAGATGATTAATTTAAGAACGTTTACCAACGGAACACTAAATTGCAAGTGGCCCCTAAAAAGGGTGGCCAGTGAAAGGGGTAATTTCAGAAACATCCCCCAATATTTTTAACAATTTCTCTGAACTCCCTCTCCCTTAAAAATTAAACAATTACACATACCTCCCTTGGGATTGAAAAAGACAATTTAACTCTTAAATATTTTAATAAAATTCTCTTATATGGTATACGTATATTTACAATGCGTTTCCAAATTATTTGTTAATTATTTTTCCTTCTTATTTGTTTTTGTTAATTTTTCATCAATAAAATTGTAGAACTGTCACTATTGTGTCTAATTTGTATTGTAACTAAATGTCGAATTAGAAAAAGTTTTTACAAGTTAATTTTATATGTAATTTAATATTTTTGTTTATTTTGTTTTGTATTTCTTTCTTTTTAATTGACAAAAATGAAAAAGAAATGGGCCAAAATCACTATTAAATAATGATAATTCCATGACTTGAAAAATTAATAAACTCTAAATGAGTTGTCAACATATTTTTTGTAGTTTATAATTCTAAATCCATAATAAAATACCAGAAAAAAGTTTCTAATTAATCATAATAATAAAATTATTATAGTTGTTTATAAAATAGCAAATATGTACATTTTCAAAATTTGGCACCTATTTCATATAATTATACTACATAATCTTATAATTGTATAGAAAAAAATTAAAACTCATTATACAACGGCATTTATGGGTATTCAAATAAATTTGGCCAAATCAATATTATTTTAATACATTGTTACTAAAAGTATTGAATTTATGGAGGTAAGCATAATTTTTGAAATCTCATGAGAATTCGATGAAATTGTCAGAAACCTCAGGACTCATGAGATTTCAAAAATTACGCTTACCAGGAGAGGTTTCTGAAATCATCCCCAAATAAAAAGCATAGTATAGATACAAGTAATTTGTAGCAAGTTTAGTATGTTCATGAATAACAACAAAAAAGATTGCCAGCGCAATCTTTTTTTTGCATAATGATTAATAATGAATTGATCCAAGGTGTAAATAATTGTATAATAATCTTTTGTTAAAGTATTCATAGTTGTATGAAGAAATAATTGCATTTGAAGTATTTATGTACCATAGTAGTCTTTAAAAACTTATGTATACAAAAATAGTGTGGTGCAATCATATCTGCTAAATACTATAATTCATACAATAGATGAAATGTATTCTCTAGGATGATAATTAAATTTATGATGTGTGTGATTATATTGATCGACATCGGTATTCATTTTAAGTAGGAATAAAATGAAACATAGCATAGTGCATTTGTGCATTAGTGATGTAGTGGTATGTAACAAAGTTAATAAGTTAAGCAATATAAAAAGTGTATTAATAAATGTACACGAAGTTACTATGTATGATAATGCAAGTGTATTGAAAAAGGATAAATAAAATTAGAAGACAATGATAAAAAGAATAACTCAAATGCATTAGGTGTGATAGAGGTTATTAGAAGAGACAGATTATAAATGAAATTAGTTGGAAGAGAGTTAGATGAAAAATAAGTAAAACTCAAGTAGAACAAATTAGTTGTTATACAATCAAAGTTGATAATGTCTATATTGGCAGAGTATAAATAATGATTAATTCTTGAAATAATAATTATGGTATATATGTGTATTAATGTATGCGTGCATACATGTGTATATGTGTATCTATATCTATATGTATTCAGGAAGGGGTTTTTAGCAGAAACCCTCTCCATGATTTCTAAACTTCTCATTCTTTTTCCTAAATTTTTGTATTTATTTTAATACATAAAAAGTAATGAGTTATAACCAACCCTATCACTAGGCAAATTTAAAATTTAAAACTTTTCCACTATCTATTTCATAAACAGTTTGTTATTTATACTTTAAATCCTTTTTACTCCTTAATTAAAGACAAATTTTATTTGTAAGCTATTTTAATACAATTTTACATTTTTATAATTAAGAAATACTTTAATTTTGCATTTTTAGTATCAAGAAAAGGAATAAGTAGGAAAAGGACAAAAAAATTAAATATGAATAAATATAGAAGAGGCATTTTTGTCCTAAAACATAAA